TTTTAATTATATATAAAGAAAAAAATTAAAAAAATAATTTCTGCTGTTCTATGTTTGTGTGTATTAATTCATAGTTAAAATCTCATTTCTATAACCTATGATTTAATTCTTTCTTTGTTTTTTCTTTAATGTAATTTTAAGTTTTGAAGAGCATGTTTACTTAGTCTATCCTTAACAGAAGTTGAAAAACATTAACAAATTTTATTAGTTTGTAAAATACGAAAATCTTACGGTGGAGTGCTTGCGTTTGATGGAATAATGCTTAAACTTTCGAACTGCCTTAAAATATTGCCGAAAGTACTCTTGTAGCCGGTTAAAACATGTACATCAAAGTTTGCTAAAGATAATTAAAGCGCTTTTTATGAAGTAGGTACTTACGAAGTTTTTTTAAACTGTCTTTTACATTTTTATCTAGAAGTTATGAAGCATCTTGTCGAACACAGATAATAACTAACTACACTGAAAACTTGTTTAAAATTAACTTGTAAAAAAGGAAGAAATTATTTTAGATCATTTTCTTCTAAAAATAATTATTTGTTTATTTTAATGAGAGTAAATTTACAAACATAATTAAAATACAATTACAGATTAATTACTGTAATTAAAGCTGACCCTCCTTATCAAGTTTAGTATAAAATTTTGTAGCAAAGTTTTGAAGTTCAATGAACGCCCAATTAGGGTATCCATTAAAGAATCAAAATGGTTATTATCTTGCAGATAAGTTTGGAAATTTTGAGCGATTAACGTTCGAAACTTTATTTGAACTTTAAAATTAGAATTTACAATTATAATTAAGACGAATTTATTCGTCATGAGGTTTCCTGGCCAAATTTACAAAAAAATATATTTGAAACGGTTTTTTTTTTGGAATTTTGTTTTTTTAAGTATGATTAGCTTATTCAACCATGCATTTCCAATTATGGTGTACAGAACGAGTGTGGAGAGGAAGAATGATGGTGAAAGTTAGAACAAATAAAACTTTTAAGAATATTGGTTCACCTCGATATTCAAGCTGATCTAGATATCTTAAAATTACATTAATTTATTCTTTAGTATATTTATTAAAAAATATAGAAAATAACGACATATATATATATTAATCGATTTAAAACGTTCTACGTCTTCCGATGCCATCTCTCCATGCCTGTCTCTCTCTCCATACACCGCCTCCGAGAGATCTTTCCTCCATAAACGTGTCAATCCCTTCCTGCCAACTTCTTCTCGGTCTACCCGGTTTTCTTCTTCCTGCAAGTTTCCAGTTTATAATTTGCTTTGGGATTCTTATTTCTGCCATTCTTTGGACATGCCCGTACCATATGAGTTGACTGTTCTTCATGTCGTCCACTATCGTATGTTTAACTTCCATAATCTCTCTTATGCGTTCATTAGTTATTCGCTCGAGTCTTGATTTGCCTGCTGATCTTCTCCAAAAATCCATCTCTGTAGCTTCCAGCGTTCGTTTTGTTGTTTCCTTAATTGGTCAGACTTCACAGCTGTACGTGGTTATACTCTTTATGATGGTATTGTATATTAGAGTTTTGTTCTTGTTGTTTATGCTTCTGTCCCACAGTATCCCATTCAATACCGTGATAGCATTCCTTCCAAATTGGTTTCGTTCTTTAATTGCTATATCCAACAGTCCATCATTTGTGATTTGCATACCCAAATATTTATATTTTGTGCAGCACTTAATTTTCTTCCCTTCTTCTAGTCTAGAAAATAACGACATAACCTTCTAAATATTAAAAGCGATAGTAAACGTTTCAAAACGTACAAAAGAATTAAAAAAAAACATTCATAAACATAAGATTACTTACTGGTACAAGGTTTTTTTAATAAAGTTCTTCATCGTGGACAAAATAAAGGTATGCCCGAATTTTCTTCAACCGGGAATTATTCGTATTTTCAAACCGGCTACTTCAAGCATATCGAAACGTTTAATAAGTTCATAGTCACTAGGTACTTTAATATTTTTTTCTCTTGCACTCTTAACTTTTGCTATAACTTCATTATATTGCAAAAGTGAAAAACAGGCACTGTTGCATTTTTGCGAGTGCCTGGTTTACCTTAATTTTTCACCGAAAATTTCTTCGGTATGGAAAATACCTTACAGCACTTTTTACAACGATAACAAAACAATTATACATAACCACAAAAAACAAAGCGAATTTACGCCAGATGTTTGTCAACGTTGCCAACATTTAGCCCAACTTAATGTTATCCTTATATTGCCTATTAATTATTCAACTCATCCTTATTTATCCATATATTTTACATGTGGCAACCGCGCTAACTGAATCTTTCAAACTCACTGCCATCGTTCAGAGAATGTTAGCATTCACTAGTAAAAGTTATTTTACTTTGAAAATTTCCAAAAAAAAATATTTTTTGCTCAAATTTTGAGAACCACTGGATCTTTTCTGGATTTTCTTTCTTCTAAATTTAATCTACTACCTATGTTGCCATATTATCAAGAAATTGTGTTTTTTAACTAAAAACCATAGATTTAGTAAGAACAGATATCACATTGTGCATTTTAACCCGATCAAACAATCGGAGGTTGACTACGTGCTGTAAAAACCAACTGAGATAGAGAAGGCGACATTGCCACATCTCAAATTTGCGCCTATCTACTTAGTTTGATTTGCAGAAAACGTGACTTTAAAACCTTCACCGGATTTCAATAAATCTCAATTTCTTAATTAAATTAATAGTTTATTTTTAAAGAAGCATGCGTAATAATATGGTTATTAACCAGAGGATATATGCGTTACTATTAAAGGACGTGTTTACTGTTTAATGTGCTGAAACGTCTAGAACTATTGGCAACGTCGCTGCTAGTCTTCCAGAATGAAATAAGCCATCCGTCCCACCACCCCTCGCGACGGCCTCTGATCCGTTATAGCGTACTACGTTTAGCTTACGGTGTGTTTGAAGTCGGAATCAAGTCCGAAGTGAACTTTTCAGTGGTTTTCAGTAGTTTTTGATTTTGTATAACATACTTTTGAATCTGCGAATTTTCAATATGGTAGGACAGTGTCAAATGTGTGGAAAAATAAGCTCAAATTACCCGAATTTGTCTTTTCACAGGTAGGTATTGTTTCCGCCGTAATCGTACATAGGCGTCCCACAAGGGAGCATCTCACAATTAAAATAATTTCTAATTATATTTGTTGAATTTTGATCTATTAAAACAAAAACGTATTAGCCGGTAATTGAATTATAATTCGTCTCAATTACTACCTAACTGTTGTAGATCATAACAAATTTGAATATAAACGTTGCATTTGAAACTTTATTATATGCCAGAAAGTGACATTTTTTTAAATTGCGTCATATTTTGGTAATTATATACGATATTCTAAAGGAATTTTGCTCAACAAATAAACAAAGGTGTTTACCCGTCCTTTTTTACATTTTATTGCTTTATTATATCTTATATCTCCCCCTTCGGTCTTGTTTAGACAAGTTTTTACCACCGTACAATACAAATACCTCTTCCTAGAGTTATTTGTACTGTGTGTTTACCTTTTTTTAGAATGGGACGAACAGTAAATAATTCTTAGGCTACTAGTTTTATACATACCTATATACAGAGTGACCCAGGCTTCCAAAAAAGCTTTTTACGTATTACGTTTTTGATTTGTGATTTTTATTTCAATCTTTACATAAGAACGGGGCACATACAGGGTGATTCAATCCGCAATACATATGCTTAATACAGTTCATGAAGATTGGGACGTTTAACTAAAATTTGATTGTCTGATTAAGCTACCTAAGTAATGGATTTATAAATAAATCCTAATAATATTCATTATTATGCGACAGAAATCCCATACTGTAGCACACAGATTTGATACTTTTAATGATAAATGCCCTCTATTGAGAGACTAAAAGGTAATTGCCTCGTATCAGAGCCATCATAATACGAGAAGAAGACCGAAAGTCAAATCTTGTCTTTCAAAAAATACTTTCATACAAACTTTCATATTTTCAAAAAAACACAATTTTCTCATTAAAATAAATATTGATTTTAGGTATAGGAAGTTATTAATAATGCAAGATTAAACAACTATTACACAGTACTTCACAGGAAGCTATCGATTGCAAACTAACTAAATCGTTACTAATTATTAACTTTGAAAAGTTCTTTTTAAGTTCAAAAATGGTAAAACTAAAATCTAAACTATCATTTGAGATTAAACGGGAAGTTCTAAATAATGTTGCCTACTCTAAACAAGAAAAATTTATTTATAAGTTTTATAACACCTCTAATTAAATTTGGACGAAAAGAATATTTCTGTTTGCTGTTAAGGTAATGCTGTTGCAGGTAATTTTCTCAGAGATTAAACGGGAAGTTCTAAGTTCTCTTCTTCTCCTAGGGAAAATACGTAAATAAAAATGAGTTTTTAAATCAAAAAAAGTCAAAAGGACAAGTTATTCCAAAAAAGGACTGTCCTTTTCAAAAAAGGACAGGTGGCAATCCTAGGTATTTCTGGAATGAAAATTTAATGGCAAATCTACAACTTTAGTTTGAAAATATGTTCTGGCCACCTATGATTACAAAAATGTCTAAAATGTGCTTTACCATTGCCTCAATATTCTAAAAAAAAATTGAAAGAAAAGTCACCAACCACAAACCTAATATAGAACTGTTTCGGATGCCTGAGTCACCCTGTAAATATTCAAAAGTAACTGAAAGTTTATATAGAAGTAACTGAAAGTTTAAATTGAATATCGACGTTGGAGCGATTTTCGAAAACTACCTACTAACGTTTCAACATAAGTATATGTGGGATATTAATTATATTATTATATTAGACCTTATAACAAAACTCATCTACTATTTTTATTTTGTACATTTTTCTTGCAGTGGCGAAATACCCGTATAGATTTTTTGGAGAGATGAATCCGCCACATAGGTATAGACATTTTTATGATAACATTATGATGAGAGGAATAAGACAGGGTTGTGTGCTGTCTCCATCGTTATTTAATGTTTATTCTGAGGCGATTTTTCGGGAAGCTTTCTTTTCAACAGACTGCGGTATTAAAGTCAACGGCGAAGTCATTAACAACATTAGATTTGCCGATGACACAGTTCTTATTGCCGATTGTGATACTGGTCTCCAGAGTTTAGTGGAACGACTTGAAGGGTCTTGTAAGAAATACGGGATGAAGATCAATTCTCCTAAAACTAAAGTCGTGGTATTTGGAAAGAACCAAAATGTACCAATTCCTATTAAAATAGAGGGCAATACCTTAGAACATGTCTACAAGTTCAAATATTTGGGGTCCTAGATAGTTAACACCTTGAACAACGACGTGGAAATAAAAACTAGAATAGAACAAGCGAGAAATGCATTTTTAAAAATAAAGAACGTCTTCCAGAACCCCAGATTGGACATTGAGTTGAGAACTAGGCTCGTTAAGTATTATGTTTGGTCAATCCTATTATATGGAGCAGAAACATGGACACTGAACGTTCAAGAGATGAATCGCCTCGAATCGTTCGAAACATGGATATATCGAAGAATGCTTAAAATTCCATGGACAGCCCATATCACAAATACCGAAGTCTAGAACAGAATAGGCAGAGAAAGAAAATTGCTCAATATAATAAAAATAAGAATAACATCATACTAACATACATAATCATACTAATATATACATAACGGCATATATTGAGAAATGAAAAATACCACTTCTTACAATTGATAGTTAAGGGTAAGATTGAAGGAAAGAGAGGTCTCGGCCGGAAGAAACTATTTTGGTTGAGAAACATCAGAAACTGGACTCACCTAACTTTTGAAGAACTCATAAGGAAAGCCGAGAATCGTGAAGATTTTGTCAATCTGATCGCCAACCTCCACGAAAGAGACGGCACGTAAAGAAGAAGATGATAACATTGTTGTTTCGTGTGAATTTCTGTCTTTTCTGGGATAAAATTTAAATAATTTTCTCTCGTTTAAGTTAGATGTCTTTAGTATTACTATTTATCGGTCTGGCTTACCCGAATGATGATACGAAGAATGCGTTTTGGGCGGCACCAGCACAGCTTTCTGGATAATGCTCTTCCCTATATCTGTGACTTTGTCGCCTCCGGCCGCGAGAAGTTTGCCTCCCCCGGAAACCACGTAACCGCTACCTTTGATTATTTGCCCTTTGATGGCCAGCACTCCACCCTGAATGGCTTTCACGGCTTGCAGCAGCGTATTGAGTACGGATTTCTTCAGGTCCCACAAGTTAAATGACGGTTTCTCGTAAGTCTGAAAATTATATGTATAAAGTTGAAAGGATTATACAAATTTAAATGATTGAAATTATAATTTCATTTGATTAAGGGTCCATTTTACTAGTCCGAAAAAGTGGCAAAATAAGCGTTCGGCATTTAAGGTTTTATGTCAAACTGGCTAGGTATTTTGGTTTGGTTTGGCAGAAGGAAATTAGAGATAAATGATTATACTATATCCGTATTGTACACTGATAAATAAAAAAGATAGACTTGAACTAAAGTCGTCATCGTTCTTGAAAAAAAAAAAAGAATTAGTGGCAAGAGAATTTATTTTAGCCTAAAAGAAAATATTTTGCCTGAAGAAAAACTCTCTTAACTCAAGAAAACTGGTTCTCTTGAAAAATTCGAAAATTTCTCTTGAATCTATTTTCATTCAACCAAGTGCAACTTACTTTGTTTTAAGATAATAACAAAAATACGCTAGGAGGTACTTCATTCAAGAAACATGGCCATTTTTCCAATAGCTAAATACTCTTTTGATGAAAAATAATAACGACACGCAAAGACGATGACGAAAGACGGTATATACAATCAGTCGGCAGTCCGATCAGTCGTACGTCGCATTTCATAGGTCGCACATCATAGTACGCACGGGTTTTGTTGCTTGGAATTTTTCATTTGGAATTTTGCATAGGTAATTTGCTTTTTAAACGTATATCGTATAACAAATTAGTAATAGTTATTAACATGCATTTGTCATTTTTTATGTACAAATTTTAGAATATATGGATTCTTTATTAAAGGAGTTTCTGAAAAAAATGGAAATTAGATCATTTATTTGCTATATTTGAGGGTAAGAGACATTTGCCTAATGCACCTGTTTAGATAATGCATGCGTGACTATAGATAGAATAAGAATATAGGTATCAATTTTTTTATGCAAATAATTACAAAAATTTAGAATTTCAAGTCGTCGTATTAAAAATTCAAAATGTGACCAAAGCTAATAATTTTAATAATTTATTTGCTTTACTTTGATTAATCGTGATGTAACATTTTTTTGTAATTTGTAGAGTGATGAACCATCCCAAAAAATACCAAGGAGTGAAGAAGCAGAAATAACTACTATCGAGGAAAATAATATCACTTTACTTACTACAGACCAGGAAAACCTAAATTTATCAGAAAATAATATACCACCTGTATATGATGTATAGACTTCCCTTAGATCAAAATAAATTTTAGTTGAGTCAATAGTATTCGCTATTGGTTTAAGAAAAGTGTCTCTTTAATCAAGAAATGTCCCATTTCAATCAAGAATTTTTACATGAATCAAACAGACTATTGTTCTTGTAGCAAGAACTTCTTTGCATATTTATTTTGGGTCAAGAGTGAAATACTTTGGACAGATAGATTCTTCTATTCTCTAAAGTATTTTTTTAAAGCTTATGAAAAGATAGTTAATGCTTTGGGCAAAGAAACGTCGTTCTTAGCCCTATTGAAAAGCGCCAATCTTTTGGGTCAAAGTCATATTCATTTCGACTGAGAGATCCTTTTCTTCAGTGTAGCACATTTTTCGCGTTCGTCAAGAATGTATACTTTCTCCGCTATTATTTAATATATATAGCGAATCAATTTTTCGGGAGGCCTTGACTAGTAGAAAGGAGGGCATCACTATTAATGGGCAGGTCTTAAATAATATGCGGTTCGCGGACGATACCGTCCTTATAGCAGACAACGTGGAGGGTCTGCAAATACTTCTACAAAGACTAAACAACACGTGTAGAGTCTATAGCCTGAAAATGAACCCTAAGAAAACTAAATTTATGATAATCACTAAGAGAGAAGATGTCCAAGCCAATGTTCTAATAGATGATACTCCTATGGAGAGAGTACAAAAATATAAATATCTAGGCAGTTGGTTGACCGAAAACTTGGATCAATCAGCAGAAATAAAAGCCAGTAGCGTAATTTGAAATGTGAGGCCCCCCCCGCAAGATTTTTTTGGGGCCCTTAAAAGCTCGAATAGAAATAGCCAGAACAGCCTTTGTAACACTCAAAAAATTTCGCTGCAATGGAGACATCAACTTAAAGCTTAGATTAAGAATGCTAAGGGGTTACATATTTGCAACTCTACTCTATGATTCAGAGGCTTGGACACTTAAAAAGGCCAAAAAATCGGCGTATGCTGAGGATTGCATGGACTGACAAGGTTACAAATGTAGAACTTCGACGCAGAATTCAGAAGGACGAAGATATGATTAACACTTTTAAAAAGAGAAAACTTGAGTACTTGAGGTACTTGTACACATAATGAGAGGACCTAAATATGCCTTGCTGCACGACATAATAGAAGGAAAGATAAAGGGCAGAAGGAGCCAAGGAAGAAGAAGAACATCATGGCTCAAGAATTTGAGAAAATGATTTGGAATGACTTCAAACCAGTTATTCAGAGCAGCCGTTAACAAAGTTAGAATTGCCATGATGATTTCCAACCTCCATTAGGAGATGGAACCCGAAGAAGAAGAGCACATTTTTAGACAACTTCTTTATCTTTAAGATGTTGATCGTCAAACATCAACAAAATATTTCTTATGTTTGGAGTAAAATTTTCTCGAAAATAAAGATATAATTTAAAATTCCCTTACAATACGGAAATAGATTGAAGTTTTGTGATTAAAGTAATATATAATTTAGATGGTTTTATAACAAATTGCTCGCTATTTTATGGCAAATGCTGAAGCTCTGCAATCCTTAATCAAGCATTAATCAAAGCACGTGTGTTTGGAATTTTGGGTGTGGCTTAACATAACAGGATAGGGCTAAGTCTTAGGCAGATTTCAGAAATATAATATATATTTCCTTCGGCCAAACACCCGCTTTACCCGATACGTAACTACAAGATTTAGTTAAATAAAAAATGAGTTTTACGATTTTACAAACTATTTTTTCCTCAAAAAAAACTAGACTAGAAAAAAAATACTAGACAGATCTATTAGTTAAAAGTTAAGTCGATTTTTTTACCACCATATTTTTATTTAAAAAAAAGAATTATCTAAATGTTTTTGCATTTGTAAATATTTCAAATTAAATCATTGATATTTCAAATTTTACAAATTCGAGAAAGATATGCAAAAAATAGCTTTAAAATGACATTTATCTAAAAAAACACTCAATGAGAATTACGATATTATAGTAAAAAAAAATCATGGCCAAATCCAATCAACTAAAAAATATCCCAAGACTCAGTGTTCTGAAAAAGCTCCATATCGAACATGTAATTTGAAATTTCCACTCAAATCTTTTTTAGAAACTATGGGAACAATGCAAGCTCAAAAGCTTTTCGAAGCTGAAAACGTGTTTGGCGAAAATCCGCTTTAGTCACACAATTGGAAACTTGATATATAGAGTAAGAATAGAAGAAGTAAAATCTGATCCATTAGGAACAATTACTTTGGAAAAAATCCTAACCAGAACAATAGAAATCATTAAATTACCTATAAATTATATTAGTTTATTATAATGTCCTATAAATTAACATTAAGACATTCTAATAAATAATAACACAACACTTGAAATACTAGAGGAATATATCTAGGGGACAACTAATACACAGCTCAGATCTTTACTACCAGAATTAATATAGCATGGAGTACATATTATGAAAGAGACTCAATTATATTCAAATCTATAATGACAATTAGATATACAGGGTGCTTTCAACAGTCGCAAAAAAAGTCTCGGGTGATTCCTGTTCGTACAGCGGGGTGTTTGCTTTAACGTTGTCAAAGTCAACTGGAGATCGCATAAGAGGCGGCGGCTGCTTGTTTTTTATTCTTGAAACGAAAGATAGACCAATGAAATTTTATGGAAGATTACTGTTATGAAACATACTTTTCGGTACGCCTTTAAATGAGGTTGAAATAAATTACCCCTATCATTCTTGGTTAACGAAATTTAAAAGAAAATCTCATCAAACATATAAAAAAAATAATTTGGATAGTTTAGTTTGTTTAGAAACTTTTTATCTCTCTTGTATTTTTTTGATAAAACTTACTGATTTGAAATTAAAAAATAAAATGTAAAGCATTACATGTCAGGACAAAAACATTTTTAGATAAAGAATTTAGTGGGCAGCTGTAATTCTTTTAGGAAAAAATCTAGTCGGCCGCCGTCACTTTTTAGGATGTTTCTAATATTGTTTTATTTGACATTACCCTACTGCAATACGTTATTATCTAGATTATTATTATTATCATTATTATCACTAGATTCTTAATCTAAAATATTTTTAGTCCTGGCATGTAATGCTTTACATTTTATTTTAATTTCAAATCGGTGAGTTTTATAAAAAAAATACAAGAGAAAAAAAAGTTTAAACAAACTAAACTATCCAAATTAATTTTTTTGCATGTATTTGATAAGATTTTTCTTTAAATTTCGTTAACAAGAATGATAGGTAGTTTATTTCAACCCTTCCACTCATTTTAAAAAAGAAAAATTACCAGAAAGTGTCTTTTCATAACAGTAATGCTTCCATAAAATTTCATTAGTCTATCTTTTCGTTTTCAAGAGATAAAAAATAAGAACATTATTTTTCCGCCATATTTGTACCGCGATATCTCCCTAATGGTTGACTTTTGACCCAACGTTTATGAAGCAAACTACCCTTTATTTTGAACAAGGAATCACCCCTGAAGTTTTTTCGCATTTGTTTTGAAACACTTCTGTATAGATACCTGGACATATAATAAGGAAACTGCAGGTCACATAACGCTCAATGGAACGAAATATGCTGGGATTAATCAAGAAAGACCGTAAAAGAATAGAGTGGATACAACTAAAGACCCAGGTAATAGACGTCATCCACAGAGTCAAATACCTCAAATGGCAAGGAGCAGGACACCTGGCAAGAACGATGTACCATAAAACTCACAACATGGTACTCACAAGGAATTAAGAGACCTAGAAGAAGACCAAACCTTAGATGATACCATGATGTTAGGAAATTAGCAGGGGTAACTTGGACCCGCACAGCTAACAACAGATACAATTAAAAGGAGAACATTTAAATATGTCTGAGAGGGCTATACCACAATTGGAAATGGTTCAATAAGCTGAAATGATGATGATGATGTTGAAATTATATTAATATACAAAATTATCTACATGAAACTCCATGATAGTTTACCTTAAGCACTTTTACTTACTACATGGGGATGATCGTACGATGTATGCGGACCTTTAGCTTCGCCATGTCCCGAAGAACTGCCCTTGCTGAAACCAGCAGAAGCCCCAACTACAGCACCAGCCGAACCTTGAGCTAGCTGTCCTAGTTTCTGCTTCAGTCCCGAAACTAAGGCTGACTTAAACTGGTTGACTATGTCAGCTGAACCACTCACATCGCCGGATCTTTTCGGCCTAAACGAGATTTACTTATTAATATAAAAATAATTAAATAAGTTTTTTTTATATTTCCAATTACTAACCTAGATGGTTAGTTCTGTATAAAGGTGTTACCTGTGATAATATTTCTCCCAAAATTCGATTTCTTTGATATCTCCTTCGATTAAATCTTCACCATTCAAAGGGTAATAGGGTGAAACCACTGCAGAACTTTTGACGGTTTTTGTAGAAAAAAATGTCCAATAAAACATCAACCATAAGTATATCTGTAACAAAATAGAAAAACATATTATACCTATACGTAGTTTTTTTATTTTAGTTATCTTGGGTCTCAGGTTCTGGTTTCTTCTTTTCTCTAAATTAAGACATAGAACAAATAATGTTGTTTAATCTTCAAAAACAAAAAAAAAATCGGCCAAAAGCCTTCATCAGTTCATGTCATGTTTACATACACTATATTGTTATACAAACACTAATATTACTAACAGAACATTAGCTTGTAACGTATATACAACCTATAAGTAGTTAGATTAGCCTGAGTACCAGGGCACAAGGGTAACAAAAAGGCATATGAAATATGCAAAAAGGCTCATCAGTGATGCCATTTATATGCAAAGAAACCTTCTGTGGCGTTGCAAAAGCTGCCACAATTGCCACAAAACAGTCGTTGTCCTACAAGTCGTAGTAGAAAATTTGCAATAATGCAGGACAGACTTGATAAGCAAAGAAAGAAAGACAGTCAAAACTATAGTGGGTCTACTATAAGCTGTCGTGTCGTTTAAAGCTGATGGGATTGACCGGCAAAACCATGTGCATATTTTATCAATCTCATCATCATCATCATTGAAGGCGTTTTCTTTCATCAGCTTTTCTGTAACTGAAAAGCACGATTCGTGATGTTATCTTTCTTCCGCACTCCGGACATTCAAAAATCTCATTACTTTGTTGCCTCTTTACTCTTTGGTTGTCGCTGTTAACTGAGTTTACCTTCTCCATTGCATTCTGTTATACGCTGATTCCTCCCACTGATTCTGGCATGATTATCCCCTCTAAGTTTTCATGGAAAATATCCTTGTATCTTGTGAGTTGCCCACCTGGTTTCCTTTTACCCTCTACAAGCTCACCGTAAAGAAGATATTTCGGTAGGCGGTTTTCTTGCATCCTGCATAAGTGACCAGACCAAAGACATTATAAAGATATACCGAACATCTCATTCATAAATACTCGTTGGTAGTGTATCAAACATTCCAATGTGTCAAACAAAGACAGAAGAGACAGAGAAGTCTAAAATTACCGACCCCGGCAACTAGGCGCATTTGAATTATTCTAATGGCCAGTGGCGTATCGTTTTTTGGAACGAATTTAATTAGTAAAGTAAAAGTAAAAGTAATTAGTAAAATTTTTACTCCATATTAATATACTACATTAACACTTTTTCGTTAGATGAGTTTTGTTATAAAGTCTAATATAATAATATAATTAATATCCCACATATACTTATGTTAGAAACGTTATAGGTAGTTTTCGAAATCGCTCCAACGTCGATGTTCAATTTAAACTTTCAGTTACTTCTATATAAACTTTCAGTTACTTTTTGAATATTTACAGGGTGACTCAGGCCGAAACAGTTCTATATTAGGCTTGTGGTTGGTGACTTTTCTTTCAATTTTTTTTAGAAATATTGAGGCAAAGGTAAAGCACATTTTAGACATTTTGTAATCATAGGTGGCCAGAACATATTTTCAAACTAAAGTTGTAGATTTTGCCACAAATTCTCATTCCAGAAATACCTAGGTTGCCACCTGTCCTTTTTGAAAAGACAATTTTTGGAATACGACTTTTGACTTTTTTGGATTTAAAAAGTCATTTTTATTTACGTATTTTTCCGTGGGAGAAGAAGAGAACTTAGAACTTCACGTTTAATCTCTGAGAAAATTACATACAGCAAACAGAAATATACTTTATACAGCAAATGTGAAATATTTTTCTTTCAAATTTAATTAGAGGTGCTATAAAACTTATAAATAAATTCTTTGTTTAGAATAGCAACACATTATTTAGAATCAGTTTAATTTCAAATGATAGTTTAGGCTTTAGTTTTACCTTTTTGATCTTAAAAAAGAACTTTTCAAAATAAGTAATTAGTAACGATTTAGTTAGTCCGCAATCGATAGCTTCCTGTGAAGTACTGTAATAGTTGTTTAATCTTGTATTATTAATAACTTCCTATACCTAAAAATCAATATTTATTTTAATGAGAAAAATTGTGTTTTTTTGAAAATATGAAAGTTTGTATGAAAGTATTTTTTGAAAGACAAGATTTGACTTTCGGTCTTCTTCTCGTATTATGAAGGCTCTGATACGAGGCAATTACCTTTTAGTCTCTCAATAGAGGGCATTTATCAAAGGGCAAGTATCAAATCTGTGTGCTACAGTATGGGATTTCTGTCGCATAATAATGAATATTATTAGGATTTATTTATAAATCCATTACTTAGGTAGCTTAATCAGACAATCAAATTTTAGTTAAACGTCCCAATCTTCATGAACTGTATTAAGCATATGTATTGCGGATTGAATCACCCTGTATGTTGACTGTATATTGACTGTATGTGAAAAATCACAAACCAAAAACGTAATATGTAAAAAGCTTTTTTGGAAGCCTGGGTCACTCTGTATATAGGTATGTATAAAACTAGTAGCCTAAGAATTATTTACTGTTCGTCCCATTCTAAAAAAAGGTAAGCACACCGTACAAATAACTCTAGGAAGAGATATTTGTATTGTACGGTGGTAAAACTTGTCTAAACAAGACCGAAGGGGCAGATATAAGATATATAAAGCAATAAAATGTAAAAAAAGGACGGGTAAACACCTTTGTTTATTTGTTGAGCAAAATCCTTTAGAATATCGTATATAATTACCAAAATATGACGCAATTTAAAAAAAATGTCACTTGGCATATAATAAAGTTTCAATGCAACGTTTATATTCAAATTTGTTATGATCTACAACAGTTAGGTAGTAATTGAGACGAATTATAATTCAATTACTGACTACTACGTTCTTTACTTTAATAGATCAAAATTCAACAAATATAATTAGAAATTATTTTAATTGTGAGAGGGTCCCTTGTGGGACGCCTATATACGATTACGGCGGAAACAATACCTACCTGTAAAAGACAAATTCGGGTAATTTGAGTTTATTTTTCCACACATTTGACACTGTTCTACCATATTGAAAATTCGCAGATTCAAAAGTATGTTATACAAAAATCAAAAAAACTACTGAAACACTGAAAAGTTCACTCGGACTTGATTCCGACTTCAAACACACCGTAAGCTAAAACGTATTACGCTATAACGGACCATGGGCCGTCGCGAGGGGTGGTGGGACGGTCGGCTCATTTCATTCTGGAAGACTAGCAGCGACGCTGCCAATAGTTCTAGACGTTTCAGCACATTAAACAGTAAACACGTCCTTTAATAGTAACGCATATATCCTCTGGTTAATAACATATTATTACGCATGCTTCTTTTTAAAAATAAACTATTAATTTAATTTTCAAGAAATTGAGATTTATTGAAATCCGGTGAAGGTTTTAAAGTCACCTTTTCTGCAAATCAAACTAAGTAGATAGGCGCAAATTTAAGATGTGGCAATGTCGCCTTCTCTATCTCAGTTGGTTTTTACAGCACGTAGTCAACCTCCGATTGTTTGATCGGGTTAAAATGCACAATGTGATATCTGTTCTTACTAAATCTATGGACCAGACCATCTGAACTTCCTAGATTGCCAATCTGAATTGTCCAGCCCATTGTCAATCTGAAGAATAATCGACAGATGACAGAACACATTTTGGGTTAAGCGACAACTTGACAATGTGTACTTTGTAATAGGCAAATGACAAAGAGCCATATGGGCTGGATGATTTGCCAAAAAAGATTGATTTGAGAACAAACTTCAAAGGTCAGAAGAAGACCACAATAGATTTGAAAAATCGCCGATAGCTACAATTCTATACCGGTACAATGAATAGTCTATAAACTTATTTTATCATATAACATAATATTAACCGGAAGAAAATGAATAACAAATACACAAATGTTCAAAACAAAATTAGTAGTTTAAAAACGTTAGATAACAATAAACGTTTTAAGGTGTCAAATAATCAAATATAACTGAAAGAGCGTAACAATAGACCATTAACAAAGGAAAGAGGAGAAAGTAAACACCTAATCGTTTCTTGTAAATATACAGAGTCAATTAATATTGAAGACAACACATCCTTTGTCATACATCATAGCTCTGACCATATAGCACAGAGATCACGCTAAAATACACTTTCTCTAATTCGACATCGATATATGGGTGATTCCATTTTAACTGAATTTTTTTCTGTCCCATACGATATCAAATATACTACCCTAAACAGATTTACACTTTGCATATTTTTTTTAATCAAAATATTTTAGGAAACAAAAATTAAATTAATGAGTAAAACTAAGGTGTTCCAAAACAAATGCGAAAAACTTCAGGGGCGATTCCTTGTTCAAAATAAAGGGTAGTTTGCTTCATAAACGTTGGGTCAAAAGTCAACCATTAGGGAGATATCGCGTATAAAATGGCGGGAAAACAATGTTCTTATTTTTTATCTTGAAAACGAAAAGAGATAGACTAACGAAATTTTATGGAAGCATTAATGTTATGAAAAACACACTTCTGGTATTTTTTTTAATTTTTTAAAATGAGTGGAAGTGGTCGAAACAACCGCCCCTATCATTCTGTTAACGAAATTTAAAGAAAAATAAGAGGAAACACATGCAAAAAATTAATTTGCATAGTTTAGTTTGTTTAGAAACTTTTATCTCTTGTATTTTTTTGATCAAACTCACCGATTTGAAATTAAAAAATAAAATGTAAGCATTACATGTCAGGACTAAAAATATTTTAGACTAATCTAATGATAATAATGATAATAATAATAATCTGGATAATAACGTATTGCAGTAGGGTAATGTCAAACAAAACAATATTAGAAACATCCTAAAAGTCAATAGCTGCCCACTAGATTCTTATCTAAAATGTTTTTTGTCCTGACATGGGCATTTACATTTTATTTTTAATTTCAAATTGGTGAGTTTTATCAAAAAAACACAAGAGATAAAAAAGTTTCTAAATAAACTAAACTATCAAAATTAATTTTTTTTAATGTGTTTGATGAAGATTTTTCTTTAAATTTCATTAACAAGAATGATAGGGTAGTTTATTTCAACCCCCTTCCACTCATTTCAAAAAAAGTGAAAAAAAAAAAAAAAAAAAGATTTTTTTTTTTTTTTTTTTTTTTTTTTTTTTTTTTTTTTTTTTTTTTTTGTTTTTTTTTAAGTAAGGTTTTCATAACAGTAATAAGTTTCCGCAAAATTTCATTAGTCTATATCTTTTCGTTTTCAAGATAAAAAAGAAAACATTATTTTTCCGCCATCTTTGTACCGCGATATCTCCCCTAATGGTTGACTTTTGACCCAACGTTTATAAAGCAAACTACCCTTTATTTTGAACAAGGAATCACCCCTCTGAAGTTTTTTTTGCATTTGTTTTGAAACACCCTGTATAAAACAGTTATTATTTACATGAAGCTAAATATTTTTTTTTTTTTTGCTTAAAATATCACAACACTATTTACTTAAACCAAAAATTCGTAATACAAAACTAAAGTGTCAAAACAAGTGACAATGTCAGGAAATAAATAAATAAATGTTGCAATTTGACATTTTTTACAGCAAATCTACCACCTGAATCCCAAACGGGAGATAGATAAATCCCAGTTAGTCAGGCCGGCGCCGAATATGTTCATGGTTGGCAACGATGAATTTAAAAATCGCACCCTTCATTACGTAACTAAATGTTTAATTGATATCAAATATATTACTAAATGGCAATGGCAATGGCAATAAATACTGTAGCTTGGCATAGAAATGTATAGCAAAATGCTA